CCCTTCTCCGCGGCAAGCTGCACCCAAACTTCATACGCCACAACATCTCCAACACCAACCCAATGGCAACACATCTTCTGCGCGGCGTTGGTTTCTTTCTCTTCATTCTCGGGCTGGGTCTCGACATTGCATTCATTCTTTCATCTATTTCACGGTACTACCGTCTCTTATCCGCGCCCCTAATATTCTCCGGCCTGGCCGTCTTGGTAGCTGCGCTAGACGGTGTATCACTATCCCTCCACCTGGCGCATCGACGACACGTCCGCCCATGGGAGGTGCCAGACCTGGAATCCGGAACCGGGGCCGACAAGCGGCACCGCCGGGCCGCTACATCGGAAAGCGTCTCGGGGGCCGTGGATCCGCTGCGCAAACCTACACTACAGACTTTTGGCCCCGAAAACGTCTTCTTGAACGAAGAATGGGTCGCCACGTACGAGCAGCGGTCCTTGTTTCGAAAAGTGTTTGAACGGAGCATAGTGAGCAAGAACAAACACTTGCGCATCCTGCAAGACGGCGTTGTCGCCGGAGCGGCCCTGTGGGCTGGGTTAGCTACCGTCGCTCTCGGTGTCGGATCGGTTTTTATACCCTCGTATAATCTTTTCTGAGCTGTTTCGAGGAGCGTTTTATGAGATCATGACAGTCTTTTCTGGGATACGGATAGAGAACTACAAAAGCATACACGCAGGCGGGTACTGGGATCTGGCAAGGGGTGATGGGTGCATTGGCTATAATGGAGGAGATATCCTGAGAGTCACAGTGAATAAGACATCAGACATCCAAGCGTGTTAGTTGTTGACCAGGTATGAGGTGATGGTTCAGATATTGATGAGCATGGGCCGAGGTAGGGCATGGTGATCCATTCTGAAGCATTCTCGATAAACCTTGTGTCGTAAACATTGAAGGAGCTTGCGATCTTGTGAACACTACCTTCGCTGCAGTGTGAACAAGGCGGTAATTGAAGCAACTCTCGCTTAAGTAGCCGTGTTCTAAGTAGAGCGACATTGAAGAGAAATCATGCTCTACGATGCCTCTTATGGGTGGTACAATTGAATACATGGAACTCTTTGAGATTGAATGACTTTACGATGCTGAAGCTGACCATGATTATGTCTGGCTTCTATGACGAACTCTGATGCTTGAAATGGAATCCACACTGGCCTGCAAGTGTATACACGACGCTGAATGTTCCGTGGCGTAGAGCTGAAAATGTATCTGAAGTGCCATGTCCACACTCAAAAGTTGAACAACAGAACATAAAGTCAACAGAGTTGACATCGTCAACGTTCCCTAGCTCCACTTTCACAAATCCAAGACACAACTAGCGGGAAACAATGGGGGCACGGAGCTTTGTTCCATGAGACGCCGCCGTTCAGCGCGGGGTTGCCACATATGGACGCTGGTTTCGCCTTATCGTAACGCTCCGGCAGTGACCTTCCGCTTATCGGACCCTGTCACCCCTCCAAAGTCCGCGCCATGCAGCAACCCCAAGCTAAATAATTGTAGCTCCCCGGAGCCGACTTTAATCTAATCGATTGCGGTGACTCAGATACAAACCACGAAATCACCCGTCTTACAAGTCACCAACACAAAATCAGCCTCAGTAGCGGCCCGGAACAGAATGTCGGGACCTGTACGTCTTCCGTCTTTCCCAATTGACCCCGCCGCCTGCCTCTGACGGCCTCACTGACCAAACAATGTCCACCCAGCGTGCAGTCGTCCCGTCCCTCGAGACGGTCAGGTCCGTCCTGTCCGCCCCCGCCGGCAACAAGAAGCCCACCCTCGTCCCTGTATACCGCCAGATCTCCTCCGACCTGATCACGCCCTCCGCCGCCTACCTGAAGGTCTCCGCCGCCCACAAGGACTCCGATTACTCATTCCTCTTCGAGAGCGCCGCCACAGAACGGGTCGGCCGCTACAGCTTCGTCGGCGCCGGTCCCAGGAAAGTCCTGGCCACAGGCCCCGGGTACGGCCCGGAATGCGATCCCCTACCGGCCCTCGAGGCTGAGCTGGCGAGCCACGTCGTTGCGCATGTGCCGGGCCTGCAGCTGCCGCCCATGGCGGGCGGTGCCGTCGGCTACGTCGGGTATGACTGCGTCCGCTACTTTGAGCCCAAGACGGCGCGGCCGATGAAGGATGTTTTGAAGATCCCCGAGAGTCTGTTCATGCTCTTCGACACCATTGTGGCGTTTGATAGGTTCTATGGCGTGATCAAGGTCATCACATATCTGAACGTCCCGGAGGACCTCTCCCAGCTGGAGGCGGAGTACCAAAAGGCGACACAGACGATCGACGAGCTCATCGCCGTGCTCAACGCCCCCGAGATCCCGCTGCCGGAGCAGCAGCCGATCAAGCTGGGCCAGGAGTACACCTCCAACGTCGGCCAGAAGGGGTACGAGGCGCACGTCACGGCGCTGAAGAAGCACATCGTCAAGGGCGACATCATCCAGGCGGTGCCCTCGCAGCGCTTCGCCCGCCCGACGTCGCTGCACCCCTTCAACATCTACCGCCACCTGCGCACGGTAAACCCGTCGCCGTACCTGTTCTACGTCAACTGCAAGGACTTCCAGATCGTCGGCGCGTCGCCGGAGCTGCTCGTCAAGTCGGAGGGCGGCCGGGTCATCACGCACCCGATCGCAGGCACGGTGAAGCGGGGCAAGACGCCCGAGGAGGACCAGCGGCTGGCGGACGAGCTGCGCAGCTCGCTGAAGGACCGCGCGGAGCACGTCATGCTGGTCGATTTGGCGCGCAACGACGTCAACCGCGTGGGCGACCCGTACACGGTGCGCGTGGACCACCTCATGGTCGTGGAGAAGTTCAGCCACGTGCAGCACCTGGTGTCGCAGGTCTCCGGCGTGTTGAGGCCGGACCAGACGAGGTTCGATGCCTTCCGCAGCATCTTCCCTGCCGGCACGGTGTCGGGTGCGCCCAAGGTCAAGGCGATGGAGCTGATTGCCGAGCTGGAGCAGGAGAAGAGAGGCATCTATGCTGGTGCAGTGGGATACTTTGGCTATGGCGGCCTCGACGAGAAGGGCGAGGAGGTCGAGGGTGCTATGGACACTTGCATCGCGCTGCGGACGATGCTGGTGAAGGATGGTGTTGCGTATTTGCAAGCCGGTGAGTTGACCCCTATTCGCGATGAGGTGAAACATTGAAGCTGACTTTGGTGGTAGGTGGTGGTATTGTGTTCGACTCAGATGAGTAAGTGACCTGCCCCTTATAATTGTGAAGACTTATACTGACGTTTCTATAGGTACGATGAGTGGATGGAGACGATGAACAAGCTTGGCGCAAACATGCAATGCGTAACGACAGCGGAACAGCTGTATTACGAGCAACAGCAGGCTGCGAGTAAATAATGATAGACGGAAATAGAGATGTGCTTTCGGCGGCGTTCACATGATGTTCTGTTTCTGATATTGTGAACCGTGGGTTGGTGACTCATGAGGAGCATGTCCATGAAGATGAGGTCGATTGTTGTCCTTGCGATCCCCGACGCAGCATATAATATCTGATCCCATTGTGTGATAAATCGACATCGTGAGACCAAAATTTGTGATGTGTTTGTTCACTGAGCATGGCCAAGCACACTTGACTTGGTTTCCAGTTCTCATGGCCACAACGAAGTGTTACTCGCCATCGATCCACAGATGTCGTTTCTTGGGTATCAAACTTGTGCTCTTTTTCATTGGGCACCTTATGATGTCTTCTTCGGAGACCTTCTCTTAAACATCCGCATGGCGTATAAGAAGAGTCTAGCTCTCAACAGACAGAGCCTTCACACCAACCAGCTTCGCCCCCTTACCCTTGCCCTCCGTCGTGACAAGCCAATACTCCGTCCTCACTCCGCCCTTAGGCACCACATAAACCCTCACGTCGTTGCCCTTGCCCGCCTTGCGCACCGCTTCGATAATGTCCTTGTAGTCGCCGTTCGCGTCCCAGTCGACGGGGTCCTGGAGCTCGACGTCGGCATTCTCGGGATCGGGGTGCTGGATAAGCTGAGCGAACTCGACTGCATCCCGCAACATTAGCAGAGCTCCTCCCCAAACGCAAAGACAATATGCTACTAACCTTCATCAGGCAGTCCCTTGCCGCCCTCATCCCACGCCAGCGCAACGCCGACAAACGGCTCGTCCGCATCAGAAACATACACCTTGTCCTCCTTCAACACATCCTGAATTGCCTTGGGCACCTCCGCGCCCTCGTCCTGCGCCTTAAACTCGTCCTTCTTGGTAGCCGCAGGCTTTGCGTAGCCCTCATTAGGGTCCTGGTTTGCCTTGTCCAGGAAGGCAGCGTAATCCGCGTCGGACATCTTGAGGTACTGTGTCGTCGTAGCGAAGCTTCGTGTAACGGGCCGGGAGAGGTACGATCTAGCTCTGATCGCGTTGTTCGTTTGTGAGATGGGGCGAAATGCTCTGCGGTAGAGATTTCTGGCAAGTGCTCGAGGTAGCGTAGTCGCGTTCATTCGTAAGGATGGCGGGGTCGAGGAGGGGAGCTGTGGTTATAAGGCAGGAGGGGTCGTGGTCGCGGTTGGTTCGTGGGAGCATGCACGGTATGGTTGGGTAGTTCTGGGAATGACGCAACGCGCCGGCTAGCCACGCCTCACGCCGCTGCAAGTGGTCGGACCGGGATACCCCACCATGCGGTGGTTGCCGGGTGCGCCACATTGAGACTAAATAAAGAGAAAAAAAGAAAAGAGCAAAAATGCAGGGGTTCAAGAGACGAGCGCCACAAGCGCACAGGAAAATATGCGCCGTAAAATCCGAAAAGTTCATCGAAGAAAAGTTGGCAACATTCGTCAATTGCGCAAATTTGAGCAAGAGTCTCTACGAACACATGCAAATGGGATGGTCATCTAGGTATCATTCATTGGTTTGACTTTTTGATTCCGGCACTCATTTTAAACCTCATTTGAGGTGTCCCAAACCATCCGAATAGTAACGTGAAGAACCCTCGACACCTATGCCATGACCATGATACAATGAAAGTGAATCGTTCCCCGTTTAAGCGGTAGCAAGGTCCTTCTTGAGAGTACCCTGGTACTGCTTCTTCTCCGCCGGCGTCTGGAAAGCACCGTGTCCGAACTCGGACGAGGTGTCGATCCACTTGAGGTCGATCTTCTCGAGGGCCTTGCGGGAAGTGTGAGTCCACATGGACTTGCGGAGGGTGACGACACGCTTCTTGGGGCCGGGGATGGAGCCCTTGACCATGACGAAGTCGTTCTTGACCTCACCGTAGCGGACGAAGCCACCGAGGCTGAGAAGATGTTAGCGGTTGCGCGCAGTGTAAGACAGGCGTGAAAACGTACGGAGTGATGGTCTTCTTGGTGACGTCGAGCTCAGTGGCGGCGTTGTCGTCAGCGTCGCCCTTGCCGATTCTGTAAACCTTGTGGTTGACAGAGGTACGGTGGTGGTATCCGTCCTGACCGGCACGGGCAACGGTCCACTGGACGTGGGAAGGATGCCAAGCACCGATACAAGCGACCTTGCGGAGACCCTTGTGAGTCTTGCGAGGAAGCTTCTTGGTGCCCCAACGGGAGGTGACACCGTTGAATCCCTTGCCCTTGGTGACGGCAATGACGTCGATAACCTCGTCCTGCTCGAAGACGGAGCTGACCTCAACGGGCTTCTCGAAGAGACCGTAGCCGAAGTCGACCTTCTCGGGAACAGAGCCACCGTTGATCTGGATCTCCATGAGGTGGGCCTTCTTCTGCTTGAGGGGAGTCTTGCGGATCTGGGTGTGGGCGAGAACACGGACGACGGTGCAGTACTTCTTGATGCGCTCGATCTCGCGAGTGATGTTGGCGCCGGAGGACTCGGCGTGCTGCTTGGCGTACTTGGTGAAGGCCTTCTTCTTGGACTTGTACCAGTTCTTGTAGAAGCGGCGGCGGAGCTCGTCGGACAAGTGCTCGGCCCAGACGGTGGTGAGAGAGCGAAGACCGCGGGGAGTCTCGATGTAACCCACAATACCAACAACGATCACCTGGAAGATGTTAGCCATAGGCACAAAGCCAAGCGGGCTGCGTTGCTAGTACAGGGGGGGTATCAATGATGGAGACGGCCTCAACCACCTCCTTCTTGTTGGCCTTGGCGCCGGGACGGTCGAGGTCGCGAACGATCGTGGTCATGCCGGCCTTATATCCCATAGTAGCTGTGAGATGAGGCGAGGCCTTTGCATTGTCCTTGGGGAAGCTGTTGAAGGCATCGTCAGCATGGTGTTCTTCAACATCTCCCACCCGAGACCCCCAAAAATTCCAGGAAAATCCCAGAAATTCAGGACAACTCAGGAGAACAGATAAAACAAAGAAAACGGGGATAATCCAACCTCTTGCATTTGCCTCTGTGCCTAGCAGCACGCTTGCGCGGCAGGTAAGCCAGCGAACCGTGGCGAGGAGCCTCGTACTCTGTGTGAAATGTGAGCCTTCATTCTTGTCGATGTTCGTGCGGTTGAAGCGCAATTGGAGCGCGAAAACGGCGAAATGAACGGAAGGGGCGCGGGAACTGACTTCTGTGAGACATGATGGCGTCCTGTGAATTGGCGGGGTTAGTAGGACGAGGATGCGATTGTCGACGGTCGAGAAAGGTGCAGGAAAAGAGGCTATACACAGGATTTGCGTAGGTGGGGATGGGAGGATGGGAAGAGATTCCCTGACGAGAAGGGCAAGGCCCTTATCGATAGTGCAGGCGCCTCCTTCCTCTTGAAAAAAAATCCAACTTCTCAGCTGGTCCGTGCACATACCGCAGGCCAAGAAGTCACGTGATGTACCGACCGTCTCCACTTTCTGCCGCTGTCTCAGAATCTCAGCTTCAGTGCCTGCCTCCGTTGCTGTTTCCGTTGCTGCCGTTGTCTTCGTTGTTATTGTCGTCCCTCATCGTCCAGCTAGACTTGATCATAAACCTGAAACATCAGGCAGATATGCTGTTCCTGCTTTCCTTATTTTCGCCGTTGCTCTTGCCGTACTTATTTCCCTGTCGTCGTCGTCGCCGCCTCTGTCACTATCTCAGTCGTCTTCGTCCGTCATCGTTGTATTGTACATCGGACCTCGAACTTCAGGTATCAGATTCTCTTCTTATTGCACTTATTTCCGCCGTCTCCCTTGTTACTGCCGTTATCGTCCTTGTCATCGTTATCATTGTCGTCCTCGTCGTCTAGTGTTTCTCCCGGGCTCGTCGAAGCAATAGCCGGATCCTCTTCGCTTTCCCTTATGTCCGAGTATCTGATGCAAACAATTCCGAAAGACTGTTATCCTGTGAGCGGCTGTCTCTTCTCGATAGTCTGCGCCGGGCATCCTACAGGAGTGAAGAGCTCCACAGTTGAATTCCCCTCCCCTACCTTTCTGGCCCAGGAATATCAAGTGGCTCCTTCTGTTCTGTCTTCTGGTATCTGAGAGTACAAAACGCAATTAACCCGGGAACATCGTCGGCTCGCGAGTAAATTTCACTCCTCGACGACTTCTTTCTCTCAACTATTCCTTCTCATAATCACGGAATGCAATTGATACCCTCCTCCGGGAAGACTGCTAGCCTATTAGTTCCGCAATTCTACACCGACATCCATTCTTGAAACAGACGAAGTTCTGGAGGCAACGCCAGCTTCCGAGTGGTTTTCTCTATATTAACTTCGTGCCGGCAGCATCTCTACTTCCCAGCAAGGCACGGCATAGCCCATGCTTTCTCCATCTCTCAATCCAAGCCCCTGATCGGCCCACTCTCCGCTGAAAACCAGATCTCTCAGTCTTTGGTGGATAAAATGGCCATCGAAAGGCTGGCGGGAGTTGGCAGACGGTGATCGGCGGTGTTAGTGGAAGATGGAGTTTTGTATAGCGAGCCAACGTGAGCGACCGACTTTGCGAACTGCTTTGAGGACAACGATGCAGACCTGATCAATGGATAAACGCTTTCACGCCTCCCTCCTAACGATCCTAGGTCCATCCTCTTCTCCCAGCAAAGGGATAAGTGACGTCAGGGGACTTCGACATCGCAACCCACGACGTGACATGCAACGTAGGATGAGATGAAGACCAACTAACGATGCGTATCTCGAAGAACGACCAACACAGACTCGATGTAGACAACGACTTGGAGCATTCCCAGAAGCCATGATGAAAGGAACATTTGAAAACCTTGCCAGATCTGGTCGAGAAGGATATGGCGCCGTTACAGGGCAGGCAACTCGAAGAACCCAGCCTCCCTACATTACTCGCAAGTGGACTCATTGTGGCCATGGTATCTCTCTCGCTCATTCACAGATGGGGAATCAAGGTTGACTCTCGGTAGAGAAACCTACCATCACGTCCAAACGTTCTACCAGTTTCAGGACGCGAAGATCGCATTAGGAGACATTTGTGTGAATGCGCCATGGTAATTGTATTCTCTGCAGCTCTGTCGTCGTCTCTATCATCGTCTCTGCCGTCGTCGTCTCTGCTGTCGTCGTCTCTGTCATCGTTGTATTTTCGATTGTCATATCCAATACTCAAGTATCCTTTGAACGTAGCACAATGGAATTAGTTCTTGCATACACTCCTGAAGATCTCGACAGAGGTGGGCGTAGAGACTTGTATCTACAAGCTTCTTTTAGAGCACCCAAAGCATTCCTCGCCAAAGGCCCAAGTCCATTGAGATAGGCGAGGCCTCCAGTCTGCCCGTTCTGGGGCGGGCAATTCTCTACACTTTCGAGCCCAGCCAGTTCCTTTGAGGCCCCCAAGACCCTGGGACTTCATTTCACCGCAGCATTTTGGACCGGGCACTCTCCTCTACCTTGTCGCTTTGTTCTAGCTCACACACCACAGAATTTTCACCTCACATTCACTGCAGCAGTTTCGGCTCACCTCACCTCAGGAGCTGCCGCCCTCATTTTCTACACCTCCCACCTTAGGCAGCACCAAACCGAGCCTTCAAAAACCCTTCCCTCCTTCAAACTCTTCCATCTCACCCTTCCTCTCTCATCCCACTCTTCAGAAAGCTTTCTCTTCTCTCCCTGTCTTCCTCAACACCACCTGGGAAGGGAAGACATCACATTATTCTTCTCCCCTAGAGGCAGAGGAAGCCTACCTTTACCTCTACACCTTCTAGCACATTCGGCTTTCAACCACTTCCCCTTCTCCTACTTTCCTAGCCATACTTTCCTCTTCCAAGCACCACCTACGAAGGTCACCACAGCGAGTACCTCACGATGGCGCCGGCCATGTCGGTCCCTCAGGGCCACTCCTTCCCGAACGGCCGGGTCATTCGTCCTGAGGAAATGCGAGCGGTCACAGTCAACAGGGACACCGAAGTCATCATGAAGGACCAGAAGGGCAACCGTATCGAGGTCGACGTCGACAAGGGCCTGATCGGTTACTTAATGTGCGACGCCCCGGAAATGGAGGGCTACGTCCTCTGCCAGCTGATGAACAACAACGGCGACTTTCAGACAGGTGAGTTTTGCTGACTTTTGGCCTTAGTCAAGTTATCACTTTGTGACCAAAAATGCTGACAGCTGCGCAGTTGCCATTCGCAAGACAGACGTCGATGTTGGACAGCTCCACGGACTAAGAGTCGAGGAGGCTCATGGCCAGAGTCATGGCTGGATTTGTTACCACATCACCTGCGAAGGACGCGAGATGTCAGTCTTCCGCACTCGTTCGCGCGTGTCACAAGCTGGAGGCCGTCGCATCTTCAAGGTCACGGTGCCAGTCACTGGAGACACGAGCTGGAATCTCTGCTACTCCCTCGACCAGTTGAGCCCAGCGCCCCCGATCGACACGCCTCTGGTCGTTTCCATTCAATCCATGGACGACGGCAAGCCGCATGCCACCCCTTGGTACCGAGGTCCTCAACACGGCGCTTGGGACAACTCTGACGAGCTTCACTCCTTTGCTGTCACCGCTGGATGGCACGATGAGACGACCAGCAAGTGGCTTTCGGTCAATGTCCAGAACAGCGAGACGTTCTCCCGGCACAATATCCAGCTGCCAAACGACCATTACCACAGAAACGTGGGAGGAGACATCAGCTACAACGATTCATGGATCATGGCGACGAGAATGCTCCAATTCATTCACAACCGTCGCTACCAGTGCCCTCCTCCTTTCCTCGCGCGCTCACTCAACGTCGATGTCAAGGACGTCGTCTGGAACCACATGGAGCAGGCCGTCCGCTTCATTCCCCGAACCAAGTACAACAATGCTGAGTCACCCAAGAGAGTCACGTTCTTGAAGAATTGGAACGCCCTCCAGCAGACTTGGCCGAACCTCGTGATCGGACCCAAGCCCGAGGGTTTCGAGTGGAAGTGCGCCGTCTGCAGTGCCCTTGCGACATCGAGACTGCCTACTGGCAACAAGCGGATCCTGTGCCAGCCGATTACAGCAGGCGAGATAGAGCCCGACGAGATCGTCGGCTTGGGAGCTACTGCAGAGCAAATCGCTTCATGGACTTGCCAGATTTGCTGGACCGCTTATCGCCGACCTTGCGTCTGGATCAACAAGGACATCTTCATTCAGACCAGGAAGTCTACGGAAGGATCCTCCTACGTGTACACGTTGCCCAACTACCCGGGTCTTGTGCCAGTGTTCCCGAGTCAACTTCAGGCAGCGGAGGACCCCCCTACTCTCCCGGAGTACGATATTTACCATCTGAAGGGCGAGCTTGACACGAACGAGGATGGTGATGAGGACGATGTTGTGGATGAGTTTGCTGTCGTGGGTTAAGACTTGGGGTTGAGCCAAGATGCCTTCGATTGCAGAGGGACAGAATGGAACGTGGCAGGAGGGACTTTCAAGAGGGCGGGATTGGGGCCTTACACGTCTTACATGGCACGGTAGGGCATTCGGATACATGGGACTTCATCATTATCGGAGATCAAGCGACGACGCACACGCTTGGCATTTGCAGCATGATCAGCCATCCAGATTGTTTTCAAACGGCTTTCAGATCATTGATCACACAAGGACAAAACTAGGAGGAACTAATCAGGGCTTATGGATGAAACAAAAGAAGGGTAGCACAGAACATCAGACCTGTCATCAAGTGGTTTTCGTAGATAGCAAAAAAAACAAAAAAACAGTAGATAGCACTTCTGTGTACAGGCCTCAGGGCTACCTTTGACAGTGAATTTGCATGCTGAGATTATGATCTGCGAGGATTGTCGATGCTATCCTGCACGACTGTTGTGGCATGAAGTTGAGCTTCCAGTTCTGTTGACTTAAGCGATGCCGAGAGCAGCGAGGTTAGATATTCAGTGCCCTCGCAGCATCGAGTCCAAGAAAGATTGCGTTTGTTTCTGGGTTGACTTATGCCATTCTACACCAACTTGGGGCGAAAAGGCATATTTAGTAGGTGAAAATGAACCTAGTGAAAGGGGACTAAACAAACGTTGCGTAGACGCTCCCACGTTCACGGTTGCGGCAGATCTCCAAACGTCCCTAGAGAGGAGAAGGTCTATGTTCTCACATTGTTGTGGCTGTGGCAGACCTCCCAACTTCCTTGGCGAGAAAAAGGTCTACGTGCCAACAGATGATAGCGACCACTCCAAGGGAGGG